TATTTAAAACAAAACCAAAAAAAACGTAAAAGCAGCAATATTGTTAAATATAGCAATTAAAAATAACTATTTTCTATTTTAATATATTTTAAAATGTAATTTAAAATGCATCTGTGATCAAAGCTGAATTTTCAGCATCATTACTCCAGTCTTCAGTGTCCTTCGGAAATAATTCTAATATCATTTGCTGCTCAAGAAACGTTTATTATTATTGCTGCTTCATATTTGTGGAAACCGTGATGCATTTTTCAGAATTAATTTTATATATAGTAACAATGTTATGTAGGCTAACGTAATGTAATAATGTGGCAATGGTTTCTACTTATGCTTCTGATGCTTTTGGGAAACGCAGCCCTATTTGAACAAACACTGTGAGCCATGCGTCAGCAGCGAACGCTGTCTGTGATTGGTTGGTTCTGTCTTTCAGCATTTGCGTGTGTTCCCATGAGCAGGAGAAGTGGTTCTATCCTACACAATTATTCGCTAATATAGTCTATTTTTCCACGTAGAAGCTTATTTCATGCACCGAATTTCTTGATAAATAAATAAAATCAATGGTTAAAATGCACTTTAGAATCGATATTTTGATGTGAGGGTCCATCTTTCCGATACAACATCAGTAGCCTATCGAAAGTATCGATACTTAAAGTCCCCATGAAATCAATAAAGTTTTTTGGGTGTTAGTATCAATGTGTTAGTCTGAAGGTTATTTATAAGGCAGTGTGCTCCAAAACAGTGACAAAATTCGCATTTAGAAGATATAAGCATTCAAAGCTTGCAGTTCGTCACTTCCGCCAAAACGGCTCAACGCAAACTTTCTGTCCAATCAAATGCTCTCTAGAATCCGAAGCGCCCGCCCCTGAAAAATGATGCGTAGAAAAAAAACCTTTGGCTGTCTAAGTGAGTTTGATTCATACATTGATGGTTCGAGTTGTTAATTACATGATGCAGTGAGCAGTTTAGCACCGGTTAATGATTTAATGCACGAGCACTGCTGTAGTTTATATAACAACACTCTCCAACAGCAGAATGGTTCTTTTATTTCTTTTAAGTCTAATTCCTAGTCATAATAGAATGATATCTTAGTTTTACCGGCAATATACAGTTTGCGATTGCATTTTATATCACAGAGTCTAGCGACATACAGCGAAAAAGTCGCTGGCAGTGTGAACGGGGCTTGAGTCGTAGCTGGGCACCGCAGAGAGACGCCGAATGGCGCCGACAGTGTGCGTACTCTCATAGAAAACAATGTGTTCACATTTTAAAGACATGGCGCGGCGCGGCGCTGCGCTTCTCGTCCGGTGTGCGACCCCATTCATCAGGGGACCTTAAAGGATCGATCCGCCCATCCCTATTCGAAAGCACCCATCACCAGTTGGAAGTAGGTTTGTTCATTGTCTAATGTCGTCTCATTGATAAACAAATACGACATGATAAATGGTAATTTCGATGCAAATACTTGCCACCACCCTTCTGTCAAACATTGTTTTAAATTCAATGGTATTTCAGGTTTGAGCAGATGTATACAGAAACTAGAAGTTTATACTCTGTCTTAAATCCCTCTTTTCAACACAAATCTTGTTTATTGCTGCTTGCAGACAATCACAGTTATTGCAGAGTTTGTGAGACTTTTCTTTACAGCAGCTTCCAGCAGGCTGTAGTGGGCAGTGTAGGGTGAAGTCAGCAAAACTGGCACTTTTGGTAAACTGTATTAAATACACAGTATCTCCCACTATGTTTTTTGAAGGATTATGGGTTGTTGAGATTCAAAAATGCTAAGTACCCATTTTTTCTTCAGGCTTTTTCGGGTAAATTGGGACACTGAATTTGGTAAAGTGGGACACAAATTTTTACCAAGTTTGTGCTTACAAAATACAAAATTTCCTACAGCAGGACACTGTACAAATAATCTTTTTCAATAGAAATTTAAAAGAATAACTTTATAAAAATAAACATACTAGTGGATTGTGTTTTTGATTGTGAATTCATAAACACATCATTTATAGAATTAAAACACTTCAACCGAAGCATATATTTAAAGAATTATTGATGCAGTCCAACAGAAGTTCAAATATAAACAATTAAAGGCACAATATGTACGATTTTTTTATTAAAATATCCAAAAACCGCTAGAGCAGTGTTATATATTTTGCTGACTTGTGTAGCCTACTTACATTATCCCAAATCTTTAGAAGAATGTTTAAATCCAGAGAAATAAGCAATTTTAACTAGTGACACGGAGCGTGTCCATTGTGTCGCCTGCCAATGACGTCATAACCCCTCGATTTCCGGTTTTGTTTTGTAGAAAACATGGAAACACCAAAGATGCTTTAATATGTTCTGGGTTTTATTAGACCGATGACGACTGCACAGAGCAGCATTATAACAGAACTTTCAAATGTATCTAGTATGATAAAACAGCGCTGCTTTTTCCCCACATACACACGACCGGAAGGAGCGGAAGCGGTCGACTGTGGCATAATAAAAGCTCTGCTGCTTTCGAGCCGTGTGTCGCGCTCGTTCAGCGGCCTTGTTTCACTTCGACGGCTTTCAGCCTCACTCTGCTTCTTTCTACTACGTTAATAAATCATTAGCTCATCCATGAACATGATTTCTGCTCGAGTCCCGTCGGCAGGGCTGGACTGGGACAAAAAATCGGCCCTGGCATTTTTTCAAAAAAACATTATTATTATTATGTTGAAAACAGCTGAGTATTTTTTTCAGGTTTCTTTGATGAATAGAAAGTTCAGAAGAACAGCATTTATCTGAAATAGACTTTTTTTGTAACATTATAAATGTCTTTGTCGTCACTTTTGATCAATTTAAAGCATCCTTGCTAAATAAAAATATTAATTTCTATAATTTCCCCCAAAGAACTCCAAGCTTTTGAATGGTATATCTATAATGTTACAAAAGCTTTTTATTTTCAGATAAATGCAGATCTTTGGATCTTTCTTACTGTTCAAAACATTTTGACTGGTAATGTATGTAGCCTATGTATCACACTCATATCACATTGGATAAGAATAAAACGTCAGGTCCGACGTCAATATCGTGTCTTTTTTCATTTAAATCTAGCTTTATTCGCATTGGCCCATGGAAACCTCTATGAACACACTTGACTTGACTTGGCCAAAAAATCGCGGGGGACGAATTTACGTTTTAAATTCCCTATCAAGCACTTTACCAATTCAACTACTCTCTTCTTCTCCTCCTGCCTGGCTCTTTGGCCCGCATCACTCACTGCAGAGCAAGCATGTTCTTGATAAAGCTGCTGTGAAAATGTGGGAAAAGCCGACGAGGAAGAAGTTGGGGTGAAGCGATCTTTATATAGGTGCTAGGCGGAGCAAAATACTTCATCGCTCCATCTATAGCGCATTGTGATTGGATGTTTACACTGTCAATACAGGAGACAAACCAATGGGCCACTGGCTGCTCGCTGTCCCTGCGTGATGGTCCTCGGCAAAATAAAACAGAAAAACTTCTGTCGGCCCCACCGGGAAAATGCCCGGTATGCCCGATTACCAATCCAGCCCTGCCCGTCGGATTGCATCAGCTGTGGGGATGAAGACGACAACTCCCATGATTCCACACTCAGTCACTCAAACTACGCCTTTGCCTCTTTGTTTATTTTGAATACGTTCCCTCTAGCGGCGCGTATTATATAAAACTTGTTCATATATTCACAAATTTCTGTCCTTTTTTTTCTTTCCCTGTCTTCTGCCTACAGTGTTTTTTTTCTGTAAACCAAAACAATTTCTCACATTAAGCAATGTATTATCTTTTAATTTATAGGATGTCCCACTTTAGCTGAATGCTACTGTCCCAATTTATCTAACATGTTCAGGTACATTAGGACAGTAAAAAAACTTGATACTTTTAAAAAAGAGAATAAAGAAACTTGCACATAATTGCATAAAATTGAATGATCACATGAACATGTTCTAATACACATTTTTAATGTATATTGAAATACTGTTTGTATTAGAAATCAAACCTTAACGATTTTATAGACAAACTATGTACAGGCACTTATCATTTGACTAATCAAATTTTGATATTCAATGAAGTACTGTTATTATAACATTTCAAGACCACCCATTATTACCAGTATTTTTTTTAAGGAGCACTACACCAAAAGCTTATTTGTCCCATTTTAACTGATGTCCCACTTTTGCTGACTTCACCCTATTTAAAATACCAATATAACCTTCTCTTGGCATCATGCTGATAAAGGTCAGAAAGGCTGATAGGTCTCAATAAGAAACAAAAACCAGGTCTAGTTTGATTAGAAATAAATATTTTATTATAAAGAATCCTGCAAACATAAATAGTTTCATTTTTGGTTACATGAACAAGGTGTGACCTGCTGTTATGAAAAGATGTAATACCTCCCACACTCTGTTGACACCACAGGAAAAAAGTGGTGCAGTTTTACAGAAAAGAAATAAGTAGAATATACAACAGCTGTCACTGTGGACTTTGGCAGACTGTGCACACAGGTATTTGTGCATATATTTATTTATTTACATAAAAGAAATATGACCATGTATGAATAAAATAGTGGAGCGTGTTTTCATTTAATTTTAAGACATTTGATCTCAATCTAGGGACATATATTAAAGAGATAAACCCCAAACAATTTGCTGTTCATTTATTCAACCTTAGACCATCCATGATATGGGTGACTTTTTTCTTCTTCAGTAGAACAGTAAAGAAGGTTTTTAGCTGAAACCAAGGTTCTTGGTGATTCATAAAATGCAACACCTACCATCACTTGAGAGCCAAAAAAATAAATAAAATACAGGCATCACAAAATTAATACGTCACTCCTACTGATATATTGAGATCTTATAAAGCAAAACAATGCCGGCTTGTGCAAGATTGCCCTTAGGCAAAAAGGGTTTGTTTCTATGCGTTTCAAATAACCGATTCACCAGTTTGTTTACGGTATTAATTTTGTGTTGCATATGCCTTATATTTCTCTCTCTCTCTCTCGCTCAAGTTGAGAAAAGCAAGCAATGTATGATGAACATGAATGGAGTTTGCTTCATTATCAGTGCAACCCTCACCTACACACAGAAACAACTAGAAGGAGGCAACAGAAAAAAATGACGGGTCACGCCCTGTATTGTATTCATATGCTCAAGTAACATGCATAAACATTTCTAGAAACTTTTTTTAACAACGCAATGAAGTGTGTAAAAATTGGGCCCCGGTGATAAACAATTACAACATGATAAATAGATAAAACAGTCATTTCCAATAATAATCGCAGAATTACCAGCTTCATTCTTTTGGATATCAGGTTATTTAACCGGACGGATCTTTGACTGAACAGCCTGGGTATTTGTGTTGAATGTACTGAAACTTACCCTGTAGAAGAGAGGAATGTTGTCAAACAGGTAAGGGTAGGCAAAGGCAAGAATTCGCAACACCTTACTCAGCCGTGGGCTCTGTCTCTCCGAGAATCTGACAGAGAGAGAGAGAAAGACATTTTTATGTTCATTTATGATAACATCAGTTTCAGTGCCGGTGGTGAGGTTATGTAATTGTTAGTAGCAGTTAAGAGAGGCTGATTATTCATAATCCCAAAAACACATAGCCACCTCATTAACAAAAATAGGTGGAAGTGTTTTGTGTTAATAATATTATAAAGCATTTTAATGGGTTAAAAGGCGGATAAAGAAAGCATATTAGTGAGTGCTAGAGGATTCTGACACATTACCTTTCATCAATGCCATGGTTATAGTGAAGGAATGGTATGCCAAGCCTTAACAAAAAAGTGGAAAAGGAAAATAATATTGAACTATAAAACTGCCATGTCATGTTTATATAACAAGCCTTGTATTTCACACACTTACTGTAGCACAGACTGAATTTATAACATGTCTTTATTTAAAATGTAGCATGCAGGATTTTCTTTCTTGATGCTGTTTGCGTCAGTGTTGAGGAGTTCGTGGGAACGCTAACTTAACTACATTTTTTAGTAGCAAGCTATTTTTATAGTAGTTTACTTTTTCCAGTAACACTCATCCAATGAACGGCGATGAGCAAATTATATATTCCTAATAACTGATAAGAAGGAATAGTGAAACACTCTCGCCTAAATGGTCATCTGTCTCAGACTGATTTATTCTAGTAAATCAGTTCATCCCAAATGGTCCTCTCTCTTTAATATGTATGCATACTTCCCTACTTTATAGTATGCAAAAAATACAGTATTTCAAAAGAGTAGTACAGAATTCACAGTATTTGTAAAACTGTAGACAAAACATACCCGGTTGACTTATTGCAAGATTCTGAAGTGTGTCTGTTGGACGCTTTATTATCCCATGAGGCCATGGGAGAGGACATGTGAATGGCAATGAAGGGATGCAACTGATGCTGGTAGGTTACATGACAAATGTACTACGTCCGGATTACATACTACACACATTCATACTATCTAGAACATACTTTTTTTAAAGTATGCAAGTACTTATTCAAACGAAGTACCTACTCAGAGAGTATGCAATTTTGGATGTAGCCAGCTTTGAAAAAGTGAAGCATTGTAATTAATTTAGTGATCCGGACAAATTATGTAAATTAACAGATTGACAAAAATGATTCAGAATGAATCTCTGTAATGTAGCTACTGTTTTCGATGTACGTAAATTATGTTATGTAAATTAGGGTGTTTTCGTATATTTAGTATAGATTTGCCTGTTTAAGTTTGATATTTTCACCCAAATTGATCTTGTTCCACATACTTACATACAGTACTCACTCACCAGAACTACATAACCCTGCAATAATTTTTGCAACCTGCATCTGTGTTATCAGTATAGTGGTGTGTTAGCAAGGAGGATTATAGAATGAGATGGAGCCTTACCTGGAGTAGCAGGCCATGCAGGTTGAGAGGATGGTGTTTAGTACAGCTGCAGGGATGTAGTATGCATGAAATGTGCTGTTCAGCCATGCGTCAGGAAAAACATATGCAGAGTAGCTGATCGCTGAACCTGCATCAACATGCAATCAGTCACATGAATACAACTTAATGCTGTGTGGAGGATTTGGTCATGACGTGTGGAAGCGTGTCCATTTGTGGCATACGGTAAGTCTTTAAGAGATGCACAATATATCGGTACCATACTGGTTATTATCATTTAAAATGTAATTTATTCCTGTGATGGCAAAGCTGAATTTTCAGCAGTCAATATTCTTCAGTGTCACATGATCCTTCAGAAATCATTCTAATATGCTGATTTGGTACTAAGTTAATATTGGTGCTCAATTATTAAAAATGGTTCTTAATATTATCAAAGTTGAAAACTTTATTTTTTTAATGATTCTTTGATGAATAGAAGATTATTCGAACAGCATTTATTTGAAATAGATTTTTTTTGTTACTGTACATTATACATGTCTTTAGTGTCACTTTTGATACATTTTTGATCAATTTCTTTCTTTCTTTCTTTTTCTTTCTTTCTTTAAATCATACAGTTTCCACAACAACAACAAGAAACAATAATTACAAGAAAATATTATTTGTAAGAAAATGTAATAAAACTAAGAAAATACAATTTGAGCACCAAATCAGCATATTAGAATGGTTCTTGAAGGATCATGTGACACTGAAGACTGGAGTAATGACTGCTGAAAATTCAGCTTGACCTTCGCAGGAATAAATTACATTCCAAAATGTATTCAAATAGAAAACAGTTATTTTAAATTGTAATAATGCTGTTTTTACTGTACAGTAAAAAACATTCCAAACTTTTGGCTATTTTTATATTTGGATTACCTTTACCATCTAAAGCACATTTAAAGTTAATCTTAAAATACTATAATAATTTCATAACACTGTTAAAAATGTCTGAAAATAAATATCTATTTTCCATACTCAGCATTATAGCGTTGTGATGCCTAAATTCACTTGTATCATATAAAATGGATGATTTTTAGGTTTTAGTATTTTATTTTCAATTTATTTACACAAAACATAGTTTTCATTTTAATTATAAATTTACTAGTTATTGGCCAACATTTTAAATACTGATCAGCTTATGTGTGTTGGACAGAATTCTATTGCCATAGCATCCCTAGAAATAATATAGAGCATTGTGACATATCTGTATTTGCATTAATTGTGCAAGAATTCCATTGTGTCTGTTAAATATTGCCGTACAGAACTTTGAACCCTGAACTTTGTCTTTATAGCCATATTTTCTATAACAAGCCAAGGAACTGATACACTCTTAAAAATAAAGCTGCTTAAAAGGTCCTTCATAGCGATGCAATAGAAGAACCATTTTTGGTTCCACAAAGAACCATTCAGTTAAAGATTCTTTAAAGAACCATCTCTTTCTTACCTTTTTATAATCTGAAGAACCTTCTTTCGCCACAAAGAACCTTTAGTGAAACAGAAAGGTTCTTCAGATGTTAAAGGTTCTTTACGGAACCATTTAGACAAAAAAAGGCTCTTCTATGGCATCGTGAAGCACCTTTATTTTTAAGAGTGTAGTGTTGAAGTGAATATGCCTGTGTGTTCCTCTCTTACCGAGGCTGTACAGGCTGAGTGCCCCATAGTCAAAGAAGTAGCAGATATGGCGAGCGCGGGTAGACATGGTGCTGAAGGTGTGGGCGCAGCTGGAGGCCAATGGATACACACAGCAGGAGAACAAGAAGACCAGCAGAGGCCATGTGTTTGCATCACACCATGCATCCTCCATCAACAACACCGTCATCAACTTCCAGAGAAAATACCTGATGGAGAAAGAGAGAGGGATGAGATGATGACAGATAATGATGTTGACACAGCACTGCAATGCTGCAACTCACAACAAACTATTTATACAGTGAAACAATAAATCCATGAAGTTTTCTCTTGCTGGAAACAACATTATACGCATGAGACTTAAAAATATACATTTTTCATCTCATGACTCTTTCCATTCTTTTCCACAGAAAGGCTAGAAGGACAATTGCTTGCATAGTTTCTACACATAGTAGCTACAGAATCTAAGTGAATATGTTTTACTGTGGAAATCAGAAACAAAAAAAAGATTAGGCAATAATAAATTGAATTCAAATGTTGAACCTGCCTAGACTCACTCTCGCAGAGTTTGTTACTATAGGGATGTATCTGATAGGAGGACATAGAAACAAACAGAAGTGCATGAACACACACACACACACACACACACACACAGATCGCACAAATCAGTCTTATCAGTCTAGGTTTCTATAGGTCTAGTTTAATCTCTACAGAGCACCTGTAAGGCTGGTTTCTATGCTGTACGGTATGTACAGTAAAGATAAGAATTAATACAGATGGTAGAGTTTTTAAAGGAGATTTTCCAAAGACATCTTACTGTATATTTGTGGTTTCCACCCCTGCAGACTAGCTATATATTTATTATAAAAACACACAAATTCCCTGGGTTTGCTATTTCTATGGGAACATAACATCTACTACTTACAAAGAGCATCTTAGATTTAGCAATGTCAGCCTTGCCCTAAAAATATGTGGCATTTAGAGTTGTTTTATTAAATCTAGTCTTTAAATCTCCGATTTTTGAGTGATGAATCACGTTTATAGGTCTGATTTACTCTTGCTTGCTTTAGAGGGATCAGTGAGTTTAATATAACCAAACATTAACACAGAGTCAGGTTACAGATTCCAAGTTTTGTCCTATTGATTTACTGTCGGTTGACTGTGTATTTAACCACTGTGTGGGATCAGAGGATGCGGTGTACTTTAAACAGACGAGTAATGGAAAAATGTTTTTGCAATGAACTGTAAATTTACATTTAATCAATTAGAATATCAAACAGTAGTCAATACTTGCAACAGTGAGTTATGCTAGAGTAGTATGCAATTTATGCAGAACACTAAAGAAAAACAGAAGAGATGAAAGTTATTAAAAAAACATTAATAAAACAAGCTTTTATAGTATATGTTTATTATAGCTTTTCTATTATATATATATATATATATATATATATATATATATATGCATGTACTGTATGCATAGATACATTTACTATTTAAAAAGTATGTGTGTGACTTAAAACACAGGCTTGTTGTAAAGCACTGGTTCATAGTTAATAAAAATAAATAAAACCCTATAATATTACAATAAAGATGAAATACCATTCAAAAAATACCATTCTCCTGCCTGTAGGGACAAGTGTTGCAAATGAGCTTCGGCTACAAGCACTATGGTACATGCATGGGATGACTGTTGTTTCATTTTCATCTATGTTTATTGTATCTGTCCCTAACAAATAAAAAAAAGAAGAAAAAAAAAGCCAAATACAAGTTAAAGAAGTAAAGTTGACATGAGTGACTCTCCAACATGTTTACGTCTGGAGGACGCTCTGGTGAGAATCACACTAGGAGCTCACTAACAGTGATAGCAGACCTTCTGTCATCATCCAGCAAGGTGAACTCTCCTGGGAGCGGCTCAGCTGGTGAGGGACATAACAATCCACTGTGGAGATTCTCAAGTCAAACTACTGTAGGTCTCAGCACACCATACACACACAATCAGTCTAAATACTGTTGCCATGAAACCCAGGGCCATTGTGCTGTTAAAGTTGTGTGAGTTCGCATACTATCGTCTGTGAGTTATAAGATAACTAAATTGATTGTAAAAGCCATACTGAGAAAGTGTCAAAAGCATAGAGATATGCATACAGAGAGCAAGCATGAGAGATAAACAGTGAGAGAGATTGTGCAAAAGAACTACAGTTTCAATGTACCAGGTTGGTAGAAAGTGAGTCCAGACATTGAGGGTCTCATTGGTGAGCTGAAAGAGACTCAACACACAGTCTGTGGCCGAACTACGAGGGTGTCGATATCCAGAGATGATACTGTCCTCGTGAAATGCCTACCATGGAAAAAAAGTCACACAAACCCCTCATTTAATAAAGACAGCAAAGAAGTTCTCTCCACAGGCAAGCTAGCAAAATAATGCAAAGCATTAATATGAAAATGTTTGGGTACCTTCAAACTGTTTCACATCAGGTTGCATAGTTATAAGAGGGTAAAGAAAAAAATCAAGTGATTCTTGACTTCCTACCATCAATTTTACTATACCAAGAATACCTTAAACAACAACAGTTAAAATCACATCTGTTTGTTGTGGTAGTTTTGTGTTTGTTAAATGAATGAACTTACTTTGGGCACTTGGTGCACAGTGAAGACACGCTGAAGTTTGATAAGGCTGAACATGTTCCCCAGATGAACGGCCCTCAGTGCCTGACTCAGGAGAGAGAGGCTAAACATACATCAACACACCGGCAGGTACAGAGAGACAAATGCATATACAGACACTCTCCCACTCCACCTGATCAGAGACCGGCTCGGTTAGCCCTGCCCTTTTCATCACACCTACAGACATCAACCTCCATCATAAACACACACACACCTACAGCGCTGAATACACACCTGAAACAAACACACACACACACACCCAACACACCGGCTAGGTGAGAATGCTCACAGGAGTTTCAATCCGAAAATTCATATGAATGCACACAACAGATTTGCTGATACGTTTCCATATACACTGCCATTTAAAAGTCTGTGGTCAGAAAGAGTTTCCTACAAAAACATTAAGCAGCACAACTGTTTTTAACATGGATAATAAGAAGAAATGTTTCTTTAACGGCAAAATAGGCATTTTAGAATAATTTCTGAAGGATCATGTGACACTGAAGACTGGCTGCTGAAATTCAGTTTTGGAATAAATTACATACACTGAAATAGATATTGTATATCAATAGAAATTGTAATAATATTTCACAATATTGTGGCTTTACTGCATTTTCAGCATGAAACGTCTTTAAAAAACATTTTACTGATACCAAACATTTGAAGGGTAATGTGTACTGTATGTAGCCTATGTAAAATCAATTTAAGGACAAATGCAAATATTTAAGAATTATGTAAGCAAATACTGATTGAAAGTATTTAGAAAATCTTATTTCCCCTTTTTGCACCTAACACTCTCTGCAGGTTAAATAGGTTTCTCTGAGCATTTTCAACACAAGTGTAACACTGTTCGACTTAAGCAGAAAAAATATATATATAGTATATTTGAAACACAGGATTGCCCCATTATATCTCTGCAGAAAACTTCTGGGACAGACCCCACTTGCTCATTCAGGGTGGGGTGTTTAAGGCAATTTCAGAAAGTGTAGGTGAAGTTGTGTAATTAATGGAGGGTGTGAAATGACATATATTTACAATGTTAATCCATAACATGCTAAAACATAGCCGTTACCATTCTCCTGCCTGTATTAATACAATGACAACGCAGAAACACTATTTCTATTCAAGAACACGTATCTTAAGCAAACTGTAACCATTGGTAGTGAATTTATTACCTCTTGGCAGAAATGAGATGCATGTTGGCAGGGAAAGCTAAAAGCAACATGACTTAGAATGAAAAAAAGGATAACAATAAAAAGCAAGAGAGAGAAAAATGACACTTCATTAACAGTATCAGAATCATTAACATCCTAAATGTATTTCCTTTAGTGTGACATTTCTGACACCCTTCAATAATAATGCAATTACAACAAATTAAGTGTGATTTTTAGACAACAGTGATACATAATCTATTAATTATGTGTGATATTATAATAGTGTCAGCCCTTTAAGAAGATGATGGAAATGTGGTAAAAAAAACACACTAGCTTTCTATTTTTTCTATTCTATCTACTTGTTATTCTTGGTGTGTGTATGATATATATATATATATACACACACACACACACACACACACCTTGCTATGTGTACTGCGTTAGGCTAACCGAGACTTGTCATTTGCACTTATATATTGTTGCTCTTTTGTTAGTTTTGACTGCTTTTATTGTCCTCATTTGTAAGTCGCTTTGGATAAAAGCGTCTGCTAAATGACTAAATGTAAATGTAAATTTCTGATGACGGAAATATATATGTGACCCTGGAGCACAAAACCTTACGTCTTACGTCGCTGGGGTATATTTGTAGCAATAGCCAAAAACACATTGTATGGGTCAAAATTATTGATATTTCTTTTATGCCAAAAATCATTAGGATATTAAGTAAAGATCATGTTCCATGAAGATATTTTGTAAATTTCTTACTATAAATATATTAAAACTTAATTTTTGATTAGTAATTTGCATTGCTAAGAACTTCATTTGGACGAATTTAAAGGCGATTTTCTCAATGTTTTGATTTTTTTGCCCCTTCAGATTCCAGATTTTCAAATAGTTGTATCTCGACCAAATATTGTCCTATACTAACAAACCATGCATCAATGGAAAACATATTTACTCAGCTTTCAGATATATTTCAGCATATTTTGAAATGAAATTAAGAATAACTGCAAAGCAGGCATTACACAATATGTTTCAATATTACAGCAGAAGGCAGAATGTGCACTTGGTGAAGGTGTGGGTGAAGCGGTTTTGAGTGGTTATGTAACAGTAATGCCAAATGTCACCCCATGATGGCAGCATTTTCTAATCTAAAACAATGCACCACGTCTCTCTGCATCCAGTGTCATGTCAAAATTCATATTCTTCCAGACGTTGTCGATTTTCATTTTATTTATGGTTTCTTGTTTTAAATGGTTTCTTATTTAAATAGTCTGTGAATGCCTTCCTAAACCTGCCTCAACCCTCATCTGCACGAAGGAAACATACAGTCAGACACACTGATGATGAAAATTAAATGAATATAGTGTCACTTCAAAGGGAAAAATGTAAGGGTAAAATGTACAAAATTTTTTAAATAAAAATATTTGCTCCACAAGTGAAAACCTATTTTTATTAAAAAAAAATTAAAAAAAATCCATTAGCTCCGACTTTAAGCAAAATATATATAAATAATCTAAATCAGTTTGTTTCTATATTCGCTAATGAAGGACACAGACTGGGAGGGGCAGAACCGAATGTTTACTGATATGAAATCAGTAATGCCATTTCATCTATTTTTCTCTGTTGCATTTTAATATGATAAGACTGTCACCGAGCCTAAATCAGGAGTTTGTCTTTTAAGAAGTGGGTTGCATATGCATTATGATGTAAAATGCTATTTAAGAAACATCTCCACCATAACAATGGCACTTGTCCAGTCTTCCTAGATTAGCAGAGAATGACGTTTGTTTTATCACTGCAGCAACTCTCTCATTACCTCTCGCTCTCTATTCAGCTCAAACACTCTTCATCTGCTTCATTAAGTGTGTATCGTCTGGAGGGCAAACATGAGAGGATGAGTGTGGGAGTAAGCAGGGCTATGTGTGTGTGTGTGTGTGGCCTTGCTTACGGCATAATTAAGCATCAGCAGCAGCGGTGTGGAGGGCAGATGCAGACAGACAGAATCAAACGGTGCTGCGGAGGGCACGGCCCATATGACCCCCCCCCAGACTGCTACAATATGCTAGCGTCAACTCCTGCCTCCACATCTGTCCGTCTCTCTCTGCAGCACTGATATCTTTGTTGCTTCGGTCACAGTGATATTACCAAAGGTAAAATATAAGCAGACAACTGAAATGCCAGCTGCAGACATCAGGGAGGCAGACATGAGTTGAATGTAATGAAACACTCAAGAATAAACTGATATTTGACAGTTCAGTTCAGTGCACAGAATTGTTTTGCTGTGCACTGCAGGTATGTGTGAGCGAGTCAGTCTCTGAACAAGTGAAAGACCTTTCAAGGCAAGACACCACAGGTGAATAGGGGAAGAAATGTTAACTAGTAGATATCACCATACTTCACCAGTTGATTAACCACAGAACATGAAGACAGTTGATTTGTATTACAAAATGTTGTTTTGTAAAAGGCATTATCTGATTAATATGCACTTATTTGCATACAACTACAGAACAGAAATCTGAACATTGGATAAAGCTATTTTAAAAATGTGTTGGTTTTGTTGACATTTTTTACAGAGGGGATTTAGAATATCTCTTTCTATCGTGCCATTTAAATGAATAAATAATTGTCAACAGCCATGAAAAAAATCACCATGTTAACCACATCAAATAAATGAGGCAAAACATTAGAACAAATCTCTCTCAGAAAATAGATAGGAATGAAACTGAAAAGTTTGGTGAAAGTGCTATTGAAGTGGGTAAAAAAATTAATAAATGGTTTTGCCTGTAATGTCTTGCTTTAAAAAAATAAACTAGGGCTGAGAAAGAACATTGATCGACTGATTAATCAAGATTTCCTCTTTTGAAGGATTTTGATTTGTAAAAAAGAAAAAAATATAATCTGCTGCTCCTAATGAAACTAGAGTGGTTTGCATTCTAAACAGAATTAGCTAAAAAATAATAATAATACAGCATTTATGGCAAAATAAAAGCAAGACATAACTTTCTATTGAGTTGCCCTTGGGACCAAAAACAAACAAACAGTGTGACCAGTGTAGTCCAAGAACAAATTACTATTTTGAGCATTTTTTGGTTAATCAAAAGCATGAGTCACACATGGATTGGCTCATCTTATGATCTTTTGATCATCTTATCATTGTCTAATGATCTGAGAAAAGGATCAGCTTATCAGTTATTTGTTCATGAATGGGACTACATTTATTTTTGATCCAGTAAAAACAACCGGTTTACACCGTGTTATCATTGCAGCATGATCACAAACAAATTACTCTTACTTGAATCAAAAACTACAATGAAAACATAAACTAGACCCATTCACGAACAAATGACTCCTACAATCCAATCCTTTTAATAAACCACGTTCACTGAAATATGCCCAAATGAATCTGTAAAAAATCCTTATCCAGTCAAAGAAAAAAAAAACCCTCACTGCCTACAGACAGACCACAGACCACAAGCATCAGCTGGCTGAGTCTGGGTAAAAACAGTGATAATCTGATCAGACAGTCATTAAAAGATGAGCTCTATGGGGCGCCTTCACCCACTGTCTACCAGTGCTATGAGCTGAGCTAATGCTGGCTAAAATAACATGCAGACTATTGAGCGAGGCAGAGACAGGACAGAAGAATGAGAAGGGAGTTTAATGTGCCGGATCAGACCCCAGGCTGCAGCTAGTAATTAAAACGCACTGTCCATATGTGTGACTGCGATAGAGAGAATGTCGTGGGGATTATAGTGAGCAGGGACATTGAAGATAAATGCTAGCAGACACCTCAGGCAGTGTTCAACACTGGTAATCTCTGCTCAGCTAGTGAGGAAGTACAGTGCATCTCAATAAATTAGAATGTCGTGGAAAAGTTCATTTCAGTAATTCAACTCAAATTGTGAAACTCGTGTATTAAATAAAGTCAGTGCACACAGACTGA